TCGTGACCGGTGGTCCAGAGTACTACGTCTTTCTAAGCGAAGTTGGCGTCGCCAACGGGAAGCTGCTGAGCACGCCCATGGCACTTGAAAAAAAGAATAGCAATAAATATTATAGCATGTGACAACGCTCCACGCCAGAGCTCCATTTCGATTAAAAATCTGAGAATGCTGCACACCAAAACCCAAAGCTCTATGCTGAGTACAAAGGTGAAGCCTCCCTTTTGGCAAACATGACAATGACATTGTTTATGTGGCACACATAAATGGCTTAGAAAGCTAGAAAGCGGCGGGCTTGTGGGGCGCGCAGGCCCCCCGATTTGCAAACAAAACGATCCGCAAACATGCTGATGACATGATTGCTTTACCGCAAGCATGTCTGGCTTTAAGAAAGCAGGTAAAGAAAGCGTGGGTTGGAGGGGGGGGGCAACCACGCGCAATCCCCCATTTGCAAACAAAATGATCCGCAGAACCTTCGCCTACTGCAAATATGTTGATGACATGATTTTGTAGAACTCCAAGCATGGATGCCTGCGAAAAAAAACGGGGTGGGGGGGGGCCGCCCATTTGCAAACGAAATGATCCGCACAACTTTTCCTTACTGCAGACATGGTGATGACATGATTTGTTCATTGTAGGTATGGATGAGTAAAAAAAAGCCAGGGGGGGCTAGCGGTTCTCATTTCAAATGTAGTCACAAAAATCATCTTGGTCCTCGTCAACTTACATCAGTTTCTATAAACCCATAACCCTCTGTAAGCCCTCTTGAAGTCTTATACGAACTGTGATGAACCGTCTATAAACGGTTGAAAACACTCTATAGACCATCCATAAAGCTAATGTAAACCGCAAGACCCAGACCACAGGACAAGGGGGGTGGGATAATAGGTTTTGAGCCCTCTGCTGTCTTTGGGTCGCGTAGAGGCTGCAAATATTGTACCTTGAGGCAAGTTAGGACGCTTGGAGGCTGCCAACATTGTAAATTTTAGTATCTGAATCTCATCTAGACCTTCCAGATACTGTAATTTACAGCAGTGGGACCTCACCAAGAGGTTGCAGCTACGGCACAGTGCAGCATTTGGTCGTTTTTGAGCTTGCAAAAACCTTAAGTTCAGTCTGAAGCTATTTACAGGCTGTGAGGTACAGCATGCCAACTCTAAATTTTCCTTGTAATTCACAGAGCAAGACGGGTTGGACCCGCTTCCTTTGAGATTTCCCCTCCTGAAAGATGCACAGCGTGATGAAACTAATATTTTTCGAGGCGCTTCCCCTTGTCAATGATGGAAAGTCAGAAAAATTCGGCAAAAGGGCATGAACGTTATGAAACGGTGAACTATGATGGAAACATGATGGATAATGATAGAATAAGAACGCAAATAATGATGAAGCATGCTGTCCGATCAGATAATTCTAAAAAAATGTAGGAACTAGTAGTACCCTCTTCGAATCCTTGTATACCGGAAGTAGATTCTGATGGGAGACACCTGCCAAGATACGCGAAGCCAGGACGCCAAGAAGCTGGGAAGGTAGAAAGCCGCGAAGCCCAGAAACAAAAAAAGGCATGGAAGCCGGAAAGCCGCGAAGCCAAGAAGCAAAAATTAAAATGAAATAAAAATGCATCTCCCAACCTAATCAACCCTTGAACTAGAAGAGCACCTCCTACCAATTCAGGCCTCGGACGGACAGAGGTTTGCCAAGAGGCATTCGCAGGCCTGCATTCACCACTTCTTCACATAATATACATCCACATATTACAGGTACACATACATTCATGGGAAAGGTGAGGCTGGGCCCCAAATGGTGTCACACATACAATCTTAGGATTGCTTTGGACCGACATAGCTTGCCAAGAGCAAACCTAAGCCCAAGCAAGCTAGTATGCAGACCTCTCGGTGTTCAGCTGCATCACCACAGCCAGCGAAGCCACGTAGCAAGGCCTGTCCACTGGGACCGGGCAGGCCGTGGCGGGCATATCAACACACAGGGCAGCTTCTGGCCCTGTGACTCAAAGTGGTTCAACATGTGAGGTCTGCAAGAGGTGATAAAGCCTCGCAGGCACCGGGCGGTAGTTGCAGGGTAGCTTCTCGACTCAGACGGAGAACCTTGCCGGTGGAAGGATCAAATTCTGAGATCCCCCCATGCTCTCTTGCACAGCTTCAAGCAGAAAAAAGAACACTGAGATTCAGTTGCCCGCCTCAAGCATGGCATCCCCATCCCGGGCGAGAGCGGCAGCCTGTGCCAGGGTCGCGAGCGCTCGCGTCGTCCGTGCACCTTCAGGCAATGCGGCAAGAACGTCACTCGCAACTACCAAGTGGGTTAAAAACGCGCGCACTCTCCAACAGCACAGTCCTCCCATCGTGCTAGCACTGCCTCACTCTATCACATCAGGACATATCCGGGCCTTGTGGCATTCCCCGCACCATCTTTGTCGCAGCCTGCAAGGAATCTTTGTCATATTTCAAGTCCGGAAAGCTTGCACGAAAAGTAATTGAACGTATCTGAAAAGTTCGGACCGTCATGCAAGAACTCCAAGCACGCATCATCATACCTTCTTATCAAGTACGGACAACATACATTACTTGCATCCGAATCCACATTCTGACTCTCACCCCCAAGACCCGCAGCCCTGAGGCCGCTCATCCCCTATGCTTGAGACTCAGTCCATGACTGTTCACCAATCATCAACCTCTCCAACCCCTCACCACTCAATCCACCATGAAAAGACTTGAACCTCAACTCTCAACCCTGAATCGCCAACCCCCTTGCTAGAGCTGTCCTCTTGACCGCGGTGTCGGCGCATCAGCTCGAAGATGGCAGCCTCGAGGATTCCAGAGAAGAGCGGCAAATCAACACACGGAGTAGAATGATTGCACTCGCAGGCTAACATGAGCCCTTCAGCAACCGAGGTCATTCACACGCTTACAAGCACATTTCTTAAAGAAACAAAGACCACAGAGAGACTTTCAACAAAGCTGCTAGATCTGAAGGCGTCGGTGGAGACGCCGTGGCAAGCAAGGCTCCAGCAGCCTCCAGGCAGCATAACTGTTTTGCACTGAAAAGATTGATTCAAACATCCGAAGACGTGCGCCTCTGCTGCTGCATCCCTTAGATGACAGGATCGGTCAACAAGGAATCTGCGAGCATCTGTGAGCAGCATGTTATTCTGACGCAGACCTCCTCAGGAAGGGCATCTACTCCCAGCGACTTCCAACTGTCATTCAAGACACATGTTCTGCTCGTCCAGTGCAGTCTGCAGGGTTTCATTCAACAGCTCCGGACCATCTGACCTGAATCCAACTCCACGTTTCGGGGGGCTCTCACGGCGGTCTGTGTCCTAGCC